TTTGTGTTGTAAGTACCCTGTGATGGCGTGAATGATCTCAGAGCATAATGACCTAATGACGTAACGTGTCAACTTTAACTTGCTCGGAAAAAAAAACCTCGAATGGAATTGAAAATAAAAATGTGTGCGTTGCTTTAATTTTGAAGGCAATAACTAATTATTTGCCTATTATCACCGATTATTTTGATTGAAAAAACAAGTAAGTCGAATCATAAATAATTATTATTAGCTAATTTTATTTATTTTTTTCCAGCCAAGTGTTCTAAAACTAACCTCACCTCTCCTTAACTCCGCCTCACCAGGCTTCATCTGCATGCCTTTCGGCGCGGCTAGCCTAGGTTACACGCTGACCGGTTCAAGCCTAAACTAAAGCCTAGCCTAGGCTTACTACTGAACTAGGCCGAGCTTATGGCCTAGAGACCTAGGCTAGGCTGGCTGATTGTAGAGAGCTGTGAAAATTTAATAATTATAGGCCTATCAGTATGTGGAACTAGGCCTAGTCATCTCGTTCTATTCTAGGCTAAGGCTAGGCCTAGTTTAAGTTAGTGGGAAAGGGCCCTAGCCTTCTTCTCTAAGCCTAGGCTAGGCCAACTTCGAACTTCTGCTAGGCCTAGGTCAGACGTAGCTAGGCCTAGCCTAGCATTTTAAGACGTGTAGGCTTAGGCTTTTAGGCCCGGCCTAAAACATTTTTTACATTTAAATTTCAGAGCTAGTGGCCTTGGCTGGGCCTACTCAAAACAGACCAGTACTCAACAACAAAACAATGCAAATCAATGTGTTCGACCCCTTGACTAGTTCAAGTGTTGATGTTCCTCTGCGAAAGACACCTTCATCAGGGTTTGTTGTGTCTCTTCGAACACTTGGTAAGTATGAGTAATGAGGTTTGTCCATATTAACTATCCTTCTTTACAATGTAGCACCACTCCAGAGTTATTCCAGAATTGCCCTGCAGTTAATTGTCTATTATACACCAGGACATAATTCTTGCCCAGATTTTTAATAACCCTACCTGCACTCTCTAAAATTTTCAGTTTAATATATATGCCATTTTTTTATGTAAGTTGTTTATTTTAAATTAACATTTTGTCTAGCAATACCAGCTAAGGATTCTGCAAAGGCTGTCGAATCAACAATAGTTCAGTGTCACATCTCGCAGAGAAACTGGCGTCAAGCACCTGCACAAACTTCGCTGTGAGAAGTGTGGTAGGAGCTGTACGCACAGAATTGGTCTCCATTCCTGTGTAAAAAACACTGCCTGCATCAAGAAACAGCATACTTAGTTTGAGTGATAGTTAGATAGTGTCCCAGGGTGGAAGAAGTCACTTCAAGAGGATCTGGTTTTTTTAAAATGTTTAACTTCATTTCGGTGGACATGGTGATTCCCAACAGCACTGACTTCTTTGAGACAATAAATAACAATGTAGTAAAACCAAGCAAATGTTATAAATTTGCTGTATATTTTCCAGGAGATTCTTGCTTGTGGGAGGCCTTCCCAAATACCAGGGACTCGCATGACTTTCGAGAGAATTGTAACCCTTGCAATACAAACACTCTCTCCCATCATTAAACAATTGATCAGTGATATTAAATAGGATAACTCACATTTGAATGTAGAAACAAAGCAAGTTTCATGAGTTTTGCAACAGACGAACTAAATCGACATCATGTAGGCCTAACACTGCCAGTTGGACTGTCTAGGAGACAAACCATGGTTTCTTGAATTGATACACCCAATTTAAGTACAGTATTCTTTTTGCCCAGAATTTCATTATATATTTTTTATTTTATATATAAACAGAACAAAATACCTATGTTTTTGATATGTACAGTACATATAGGAGCATTAATAATTTTAATCTCCATTCTTTACAATTCCAAATCCCTAATATTAACAAATAGATCAAAAAACATTATTAAAATCTTGGCATTTTCAATAACTGGTAGACCCAACATTTAGTGCACCATAGAGGAAATAAATTATGTAAATTTCCCATCTTAATTTATATTCTCCATGGTGGCAGTACGTAACACCTTGATTGGGCTCATTTTTGAAATCTATATGAAATAGTAATGAAATAATTGCAACAATACTAATAATATTTAATAATAATAATAATAATACTTCTTAATGTTGTCTTTCTTTGTGAGATTCATCTCATGTTTTCTTTTTTATGCGAGAATTTCGCTTTTCTGATTTTACTATTGATGTTTTTTATGTGTCTTCTCATTTTATCTGAATTGTACATTTGCAATAAATTTATATTGAATTGAATTTAGAAAAATGGCATTGGTGACTAACTAGGTTGATGTCTTGAATGATGATAATTATTCTATATAATTAAAAACAACATTCAATTGGACATGTATATGTGAGTGTTTAAAAAATAGTATATGTTTGCTGCTATTATGTCTTTGTTTAAAGTAATTTCCAGCTATATTTTTATGCAAATTTCCAAGATAAGGGAGACCATATCTTTTAAAGCATTTTTTTTTTATTCCAACTTTTTCATGTTAACGTAGCACTCTAGTATTCTAATCTCGTTTTGTAGTGGGATATTAAAAATGTACAGTTACTTACTAGTACACATCTCTATTTCACAGGTATTTACTTTGATGGTGCAGTTGGACTGAGCTACCGCATTGGTGGAGATGGAAAAGAGAGAAAGGTTGTGTGTACCTCCGAAGATGGTAAACATTTGCTTGAGCCGATAAATGGTTGGAGCGGTCATTCATCATATGAACTCATTAGCAGTGGTCAAGGTACTTTTCACCATATTTTGCTTTATGGATGTATAGGTGGCTTATATTCACCATAATTTTAAGATGGCTTATATACACTGAATGTGCAATATGCTCATGTTTACATATCACCAAATGTTCAGGTGGCTCATATTCACCAAATATGCAGGTGGCTCATTTTCCAAATGTACAGGTGGCTAATATTCACCAAATATGCAGGTGGCTCATTTGCCAAATGTACAGGTGGCTGATATTACCAAATGTACAGGTGGCTAATATTAACCAAATGTGCAGGTGGCTAATATTAACCAAATGTGCAGGTGGCTCATTAGCCAAATGTACAGGTGGCTGATGTTCACCAAATGTGCAGGTGGTTCATTTGCCAAATGTACAGGTGGCTAATGTTCACCAAATGTGCATGTGGCTTATTTGCCAAATTTACAGGTGGTTAATATTAACCAAATGTACAGGTGGCTCATTTGCCAAATGTACAGGTGGCTCATATTTACTAAATATGGCTCCTATTCATCAAATGTGCAGATGTACATGTGACTCATTTTTACCAACAGGTGTCTCATATTATCTGAATGTGCAGGTGGCTCTAATTCAATGATATGTATACTTAATGATAAACATAATTTTTTGTTAATACTTTTTTGAATAAACATTTTATCTAAATTAACAATATGATTTTTATATTGTAGTGTCATCCATTGAAGTGATGGACGATAGTCCTTCTAAAGGTCAGAAGGATGTAGAAGCAGAGGAACCTTCTTGTGGTGCAACAGAAACAGATAGTGTTAGTGAAAAAAAGGTTATTATATTGATATATTTTGGTGTTCATCTTTACTGTAAATTCCAGGGTCATGGTTCAATCTACGTAAACAGTATGTGTTACTGTTAACATTCCATTATCTTCATCTGAAAACATTTTTTTTGTCTTTTTTGTCTTCGTATTTATTCAATTATAAATTCATACTGTATGTACGTAAAATTGTATATAGCAAACACATTATATTAAACATTGTCAGTACATATCGTATATACTCGACCCCATGTTTTTCTATCATAATTTGCTATTTTAAGCCTTGTCATAATATGCGCGAGTATATACGGTAATTTAATCTGGAAACAAAAATTCTAGCCAGCCATATTTAATATAGGATGTCAGTTCAACTCGCAGTTTTCCTCTTCTTTTCCAGCCTCTGACTTCTCCTTAGTTTATTCCTGATAAAGGAATGACATTTACATTTTTCTGTCAATTTTTGTAGATTCCAAAGGCATATGAGATCATTGAACTGAAAGAGGGTTATAGTTACACTGATGAAGAAGGTCATCAGAGGGCAGATGGATCAATAACGCTCATCAAGGGACAGAAAAATATAATGGTAGACACGGGTAATGCATGGGACAGACAAGTAATTCTAGACGGTTAGTCATATTTTATATATGACAGAGCCAAGTCAAAGGAGGAATAGCTCAATATTTTCAAAATTGAGTTTTGTACATATTATGAAACTAGACATTATTATCTTTAAAATAAAAAAAATCACTTTGATATGATAGTTTATGGTAAAGTTATGGGCAATCAAAGTTAGGATACTTGGTAAGTGTATTTTGAGAAAACTGGCTTTGAAAATCAGATTTTATGTCTGTACGCTAGGACAAGCTCTCTTAAATACCTCTCTTAAATCTCTAAAAAAAATTGTTTAAACGATTGATTTCATGTTTGTGCATTTATTGGAAAACTGCCTGTGCGACTTATCCCTCCTTTGGCTTGGCTCTGCCAATCTGTTATTATCATTATATTTTTACTATTTTTATAAAATGTATTTAAATGTTTTTAATTTTTTAATCTTTATAATATATTATTTCTTTTATATTTTATCATTCTTACTAAATAAATACAGTTTCTTGACGACTAGTCACTCTTTGTTGTCATGTTTCAATTGCTTAAAGCCACAGTAATCCATGTGCTAAATATGAACAGAAGTCATTAGCCATATTTTCATTTGATTAATTTCAAATAACATGAAGAGTAACATACCACTGTTTGTCCTGGTTTTGAATATGCAGTAAGTCTTAATAGGATTTGCGCATGCAAGGTCAGTCTAATCGTGAATACATTCTTTGAAAGTTATTTTTAGTCAAACTGACCAGGCACATGATTAGTTTGACAAAAAAATAGTCCAATCCAAACAGGGATTTTAGAATGTGTTGCAGTCACAACAACTGACCAATCAGAACACGGCCAGGAATAAGCACATGTCTCACAAAAACCTGTGTTATCCCATAAACGCACACGTGTGCGTATCTTTTTACGCTGTTTTGTGGGATCTTAGCAACAATATCCAAGGGGCGGGGCTTAGTGGAAATTGATTACAACCACTGGTTGTTAAGACAACCATTGGTTGTTAAGAGAACTAATTTATAAACATCATTCTTAATTTTTTTTTTTGAGTGAGAATATGTATATCATTGTACATATATTATTTTTATTTATATATTTTACAGGGTTGTCAAGACAGAGTTTAGAAGCAGATAAAATTGACTATGTGGTTTGTAGTCACGGTCATTCTGATCATGTTGGCAACTTGAACCTGTTTCTGAAAGCTATACAAATTGTTGGTTTTGATATCAACAGTGAGGATAAATTCATTGATCATCCATTTGCACTGGTAAGTGTATAGCAATGATCACTCAAATTAATATTAAAAATTCCATATAAAAATGCATTGTAATAATGGTGATGATGTCACTGACAGTTAGATAGATAGATAGATGACAACAATTTTTGCTGGCTCGTAATTTTAAATAATGTTGATAATCGCTGCTGATTTTTACAATTTAAAAAAAAAAAATTAATGAAATAATCCAACTGCAATTTTATAATGTTTGTATTTTATTCATGCAAAGGTTGTTATTTCTATTATTATTATTATTATTATTATTATTATTATTATAAATTATAATTATTATTGTTATTAATATCACGATTGTGTGCCCTTTTATTTTCTTGGCTTGTTTGTATTTTATGTGTTTTATGAGGAGACCCTTTTTATAGTTTTCGCTGTTGGGAATCCTGTCTCGGTTGTTCATGTTTGTTATTAATTTTTTTGTTTTAGACGAATAAAGGAAATAATTTAAAATTTTAGAGGAATGCCTTAAGCCGGGCAGTCACTGCATCGTTCAATAAATCTAACTCTGCTCCCTAGATAATGAATCTCCTGCATCATACTGCATTCCATAATATATTGTGATATCTTCTGTACTCTGTTTTTGCCTTTGCTGTGGCAATGTATTTAAACTTATTACAAGTTAGCCAATAAATAAGGCCTACATAATGCCTGACCCTCCTTACCTCCTTAGGGTGAACCATTTAAAATTGATGATGCTGTGGATGTTATCCCGACCCCAGGACACACCCACAACGATGTAAGTGTGGTGGTTAGGAACACTGCCAAAGGAACTGTTGTAGTTGCAGGTAAGATTTACAAGTACATAATTGATTTTTAATGATTATGGACATGATTATTGACGAAAGGATGTTAAAATATTATCGCAGTTCCTTGGGTAAAAGCCAACTCCACAAAGAGGCATACAGAGACTGTGTAACGCCCCTGCCCCCCCGAATTAAGTCTTTCTATCATTTGAATACTAGATTTTATTGCAGTTTATTCTATTCTTGGTTACTTTTACTTACCTGAGGTACACAAACTGTAAAATTTTCATTTCAAACTTCTGAAATTAGGAGATTGGTTTATTATATTCTGGTGGAGAATTTGGCAGGAAAATTATTGAAAGTAGCAGGTGGACTTCTCCCTTGTGTAGGCAAGTACCCAAGGAACCACTGTAATGGACCTTTCCACTAAGCCCCTCCCCTTGGATATTGTTGCTTGTGATATTGTGTGTTTGTGAGACGCGCACGTATTCCTAGCGCTGTTCTGATTGGTCAGTTGTTGATTTTGATTGACACTCCAGAAAGGTCTATTGTTTTGCTGAACTCTTGTCTAGAAATGTGTGAATAATTAATACTGTATGTGTTTTGTTAATTATTATTGTTAAATATAAACGATGATTCTCAATTTCGCTTTTTACTTAGGGGATTTATTTGAAAAAATGGAAGATTTAGTAAATGCAGAATACTGGATGGGAAACAGCGAAGATGAAAAAATGCAAGAGAAAAATAGGAATATAGTTTTAGGACTCGCAGACTACATCGTGCCTGGACATGGTCCAGGGTTTAAGGTGCCTTTGAAGAGTGCAACAAAAGAACAAAGTACCAGTAACACATGATGCTTAAGCCTACTTGGAACTTTCATTTTACTAATAATTACAATGTCAAAAGATCATTTGACACAAGATCATATTTTGTTAAGTAATGAGACAGCCTTGAATAAAACAGTTTGAGTAGCAGTGGGTATAACATGTATATCAGATGTAGGACTTTATGACATTTTTTTATTCCACAAGCATTCCACTATATAATACATATCAAAGTTTACCTTTTACCTATTTATAAAATATAATATTATTTACCTTCTGCAAGTTATCACCTAAATAACCTGTGTGTAGTCGTGAAAGATTGTGGAATAAACTATGTAAAGTCTTGATTAAAACCATTGGCATATTTTTGAAAAGGAATAAATGTTAAGATTATTGATTTTTTGTTGTGTTTTTGAGTTTTTTTCGAGTTGAGTAACCTTATGATTTGGATTAATCCACTACACCAATATCACATAGCTCAGCTGTAAACCAAGGTAACATTTTTATTGTCATGCAAACCGAGTCGGATATTAGTATACAGTACATGCTGCTATTATTTATTACACAGGCCTAAATTTTTAGTAAATTGAGAAGAGTACTAGCCAATGGCGGCGCTAGGATTTCCCCGATGGCATGTTAACGCCCCCGACAGGAATGGCAAGAGTTTTACTTTGGCACGTAATGCCAAACGAGGGACTTAGGCCTGAGCTGGGGGTGGGTTTCGGAGTGGGGTGTTCCCCCTCCCCAATGAGAATTTTTTTTAAATAATAAGCTGCAAGACGCTTACGCAGGGTATCTTGACCTAAGGAGCATATCTGATTCTAAATCATTAATTGAAACTTTACATTTTAACATTGAATACCGGTACATATTTTCAATAAGTTTTATTAGTTTGCCCTTAATACCAATACATTTGGCGACAGTTATAAGCCCTTGGCACCCTACTGGATCAAATGCTTTTTGAAATCATCAAAAGCCATGAATGCTTTTTTCCCCTCTGCTCGCCTTGTGCCAGTAATGCTTTTTAACACAAACATGTTTTCTTCACATCACCTGTCTTTTCTGAAGCCTCCTTGGGCTTCGGTTAGCATATCGTGTTCTATAATAAATTCAGAAATAGTAGCCAAAATTTCCTCGATTCCTTAGTAGTTATTGAGGTCGCGTCGATCTCGTTTTTTGAAGATGGGAATAATTCTTTATCCATTCAGGGATACTTTCAGTTTCGATGATTTGATTGAATAGTTTTTGTGTCATTAGATCTCTTTCATTTTCAATCATTTCATTTTTTATACTATGTTTTCCTGGGCTTTTGTTGTTTTTAGACTTTAGAATACTGTAGCATTGGCAACATCAAAAGAAATATCAATAAAATATAAATACTGATTGTCCTGTAAGGTGGATGAGTGGAAAGTATCTTAATCGGTCATTACTTTCGTTAAAATTCGCAATGTTGCTGAAATGTATTTTTGGGTGATTTTTTTCATATTTTCAAGATTCAGAGTATGAATTGAAGTATCTGATTAAAATCGAATCAACATTTTGGCTTAGTTTCTTTCCTTTCAGTTCATGCCAAAGTATTTTGACTGGAGCCCACCTTTTTCCATAATCAGTGAGCAATTATCAATATTTTTGGCATGATCTTATTACCTTTTAGTAATGGTACAATAGTTAATATCAAAGTTTACATTATTGTTTGTGCTCTACAGGATGCACGACGTTGGTTGATTACATCTTTAGTTTCTTTATCAAACCTAGATTATTTTTTATGTTTTTTTCTTACAGACAATTGTGTTTTCAGCAACATGGTGAACTTTATTTTCCACTTTCCCCAAGCATCTTTAATAGACTAGGATCCCAATTTTTTAAAGTATCAGTTAAAAACAACTTTATTGATCTGAAAATCGGAGTCTTTTGTCTAAGCCAAATGATGACATTTTTTTACAACTTAAACACATCGTTTCTCTTTTACAAAGAGGATAAAATATACAGGCTACATGAATCTGCCTCTACGTAGCATCGGTCGACATGCCTTTGTTGAAAAGTGTATTTATTAATAGAGTGTTCCTTCGTGATTTTTGTCTGTCAAACGTTGTCTAATAGTATAGGCTATAATGCATTATCAAACAAATCATGTGTCTGTCTCTATATCTGTTAGTTGGACATTGCTCTTCAGTACATCTCGAAGTCTGATTTAACATTGTCGAGTATAGTAGTAGTCCAGTGGTTCAGTATACCAAAGGAGACATTTGCTAGTACTATAATACCAATTACTAAAGCAGTTCATGCTGAAAACTAGATTCTAAAATGGCCAGGCCTCTGGATTTAAAGGATCGGTGGATACTCTGAGCTACTTTGCAGCACGAATCAAATATCCTCGGATACAATTTAGAATTCATTTTATTCATCATAGCAATATGACATTATTTCCTGGACATTGATTAGTTACAAGGTTAAATAAATACTTCAAAAATATGCAGTAGGCCTAAATAAAAAAGGGATACACATACATCCATATAGAGATAAAACGTGAACAATTTTTCAAGTCTGGAAAACCGTATTGTTTTTACCGTGTGTTGTCATTCTACCAGATTTAGAACTACGATTATACAGTTAGTTCTTTATCATTAATA